GCTGGGTGTTGGGGGCACCTTCTGCTACATGTCATCTGTATTTGTTCTTTATCCCTCTTTATTGCCAAATAATATTCCATTCTATGGATGTACCACAATAACATATCCATTTGTCACAGCTGGGAGTAGTGGCACACACCTGTAATCCCAGCTATTCAGGAGGCTGAGGCAGGAGTATCAAAAGTTCAAGACCAGCCTGAACAATTTAGTGAGACTCTATCTCAAAATAAAATAAAATAATATGGCTCAGTGGCAGGGTGCCTGCCTAGCATGTGTGTGGTCCTGTGTTTAATTCTAGTACTGAAACAACAAAATGAAAAATTTTATCCAGCCATAAATTGATGGTCATTTGGATTATTTCAACTTTTTGACTATTCTAAATAATACTGCTTTGAAATACATGGCCAAGATTTTTTGTGAACATGTCTTCATTTCTCTTGAGTATGTACCCAGAAGTGGAATTGTCAGGTCATATGATACCAATATGTTCAACCATTTGACCAGTTGCCAAAATGTTTTCTGAACTAAAAATTTCAAAATGCACTACTTTGCATTACCAGCAGCAGTGCCTCGTATCTCCATATCCTTGTCCATGCTTTTTATTAATTTTTTAACATCCCAGTGGGTATAAATTGATATCTCAGTAGTTTTGATTTGTGTTTCCCTGGTGGCTAGTGTTGTGGAGCATCTCTTCTTGAAGACAAACAAATCCACTTGTCAATCTTCATTGGAAAATGTCTATGTGGATCCTTTCCTATTTCCCCTTCTCCCTCTTTTTTTTTTTTTTTTTTAATGGTACTGGGGATTGAATCCAGGGCCTGGTAAGTAAGTGCTCTACCACTGAGCTGTACTTCACGCCTGTGCGAATTCTTTACACATTCCAGATACAAGTTCCTTACCAGCTACGTGAATTGAAAAGATGTTTTCTCATTCTACAGGTTATTTTTTCACTTTCTTGATTTATATCCTTTGAAATGCAAAAGTGACCTTGTTTTTGGTGGTGCTGGGGACCAAACCCAGAGTTTTGTGCATGCTAAGCAGGAGTTCTACATCCCTACGCCACACAGAAGTTAAAAAAAAATTTTTTTTTTTGAAACAATGACTCAGGGAGCTGGGGATTTAGCTCAGCAGCACAGCGCCTGCCTGGCAAGCGCGAGGTCGTGAGTTTGATTACCCGTACCGGGTGGGGGCGGGGTGAAGAAACCGACTCAGTATGTAGTTCAGCCTGGCCTTGAGTTCACTATGTAGCCCATGTTGGCCCTGAACTCATGGCAATCCTACTGCTTCAGCGTCTTGAGTGCTGGGATTACAGGTGTGCACCACCACGCCCCACTAGAAGTTTAAAATTTGATGATACCTTGTTTTTTCTTTGGTTGAGAACCCAATGGCTTTGGTACCTTCACTGAAAATCAGTTGACTATTTCTTACCTAATTTTTTGCCTTTCCTTAAGTTGATAGCTGCTCCCTGCTGGGTATAGTGACACACATCTGTAGTCACAGGTACTTGGGAGGCTAAGGGAGGAGCATTGAAAATTGGAGGCCAGCCTGGGCAACACAGACAGACTCTATTCAATAAATAAACAATAAAAAAAAACAAACAGAAAACAAGAAGCTGTCTGCTTTTTAAAATCTACTTCTAAATTTTACCATGTACCTCAACAGGTCTGTAAAACATTATTATGATATAGGGGGCTGGGGATTTAGTTCAACAGCACAGCGCCTGCCTGGCAAGTGCAAGGTCGTGAGTTCGATTGCCGGTACCGGAAAAAGCAAACAAACAAACAACATAGTTATGACATAAATATTATCATGTAAAATAAAACATATTATTTCCATTTGTGTAAGCCTGTCAAATATTGTATCAGTGGCTTCCTGGAGGGCAGTCTCCAGTGTTTTCTGTTCTCTTGATTTCATCAGGACAGCCTCTTCAGGGTCTGGGGCATGGCTTCCATTGCAAGTATCTTCTTTCACCCATTTTGTGTTGGCCTCTTATGTCCCACAGCTATTGCCTTTTTCTTTCCAATTTATCAGAGCCCATCTTCTAGTAGCCTACTTAAAAAGAGAGGTAATATTTTTGCTTATTTACATATCTGGAAGATGTCTTTATTTCACCATCTTTTATTGATAGTTTGGCTGTTAAATCTAGGTTAATAATCATTTTCTTCTGAAGTTTAAAGGCACGGCCACATTGTTTTCTATCTTCTAATCTTGTGTTGAGATGTTATTCTGATTCTTGTTCTGTTTTTTATTCTCTTTTTGACATATTTTAGGGTCTCCTTTTTCTCTGTAGTATGTGGGGTTGGGGGTTGGGGATTGAAGCCAGGGATTTTACAAGGTCACCGTGCACAGTGAAAGATGAGTTTTGTTTTGTTTGAGACAGGGTCTCACTATGCAGTTCAAGTTGGCCTTGGACTCACTGTGTAGCTCAGGTTGGCCTTGAACTTGTGGTGAAGCCCCTGCCTTAGCCTCCTGATGCTGGGATTACAGGTGTGCGCCACCACACCTGACTCAAAAGATGAGTTTTGATGTGTTTATTTTTCTCTCATTGTTCTGGACACATACCATACCCTCTAATATGCAAAGGCTCAAATCAGGAAATTTTCCTGTGTTTCTTTTATTTTTTTAATTCTTATTGGTATCAGGAATAGAACTCATAACCTCACACTTGCTGCTGTGCTGCTGAGCTATATCCCCGGCCCTTGTATTTCTTTTAAAATCGATCACACCCACACATATTTTATCTCTTTACCTCACATATCCTGTTTTTTCCTCTTATATCCTTTATTAATCAGACATCCTTTATTAATTGGACTATTTGGCTTGATTTTCTAACTTTCTTATTTCCTGCCTGCAGCCCTACTGGTGCTTACTCTGGTACTTTTGTTCCTTACTTGTGGGCAATTTTGGATCACGATTTATTTCTCTTGGCACTGTCTCTATGGAAATTCCCCAAGGCCTAGACTGAAGATGAATCCATCCCAGAGGACCTACGTGGCTTCTGCTGGATGCTTGGTGGTACTGTCAACCCCCAAACACTTTCAGTTCTTGCCACTTTGTTTTTAGGAAGAAGAAAAGATTTTCAAAGTCCCTCCCAAAAGAATAAAACAAGTCACTCAGGCAGATTAAAACATAGTTTGGAGTTATAAATTCTCTGCAAATATTTAAAATAAAAAAAATAAGAAAGTCCACTAGATAGCTGACTCCCAAACAAATAATTGTCTACGATACAGTTCCCTAGGGACAGTTTGGGGGCCAGAATATTTTTAATCCACTTTTACATGATAATATAGTCCTTTAGGATTCCAGCTTTGTGATAGGGTCTTTCTGTTAGATTTCTTTTTCTTTTTCTTTCTTTCTTTTTTTTTTTTTTTGAGACAGGATCTTGCTGTGTAGTTCAGGCTGGCCTTGAACTTACTGTGTAGCCCATGTTGGCCTCATTTGCAGTGATCCTCCAGCCTCAGCCTTCCACGCGTTGGGATCACAGACATGAGCTATCATGTCCAGGTAGATTTTCTACTTTGAGGAAGCCCTAAGCTTTATCTCCTGTGCTATAGTAGCACCCTATGGAAGCCACTATGCTCAAATTCAATTCTTTACTACCTCTCTGGGTAGCTTTCACTTATTGATCTTCAGCTAGTGTTTACTTTCCTGTCAGCTCATAACTACATTTTAAAAATGCCCTTTTCCTGTAATCCCAGCCCTTGGGAGGCTGAGGCATGAGGATCATTGTGAATTTGAGGCCAACCTCGGCTACATAACGAGACCTTGTCTCTGCAAAGTTGCTCAGTAGGCCTCAAACTTGTGATCTTCTGCCCCAGCCTCCTAGAGTGGTGGGATTACAGGTATGAGCCACTCACCTGGCTTTCCAGAGTATTATGTTGAATGAAAAAAAATAGGTTACACACCATATGATACATTCATATAACACAAAATAAAGTTATGGAGAGGGAGAGAAGTTAGCATTGCTAAGGGGTAGGGCTAGGGATGGGATGACTATAAAGAGGTAGCTCAGGGGCGTCCTGTGGAAGGTAATAGTTCTGTATCCTGATTGTGGCTACTAGTTCACACAAATGTACACATGTGATACACTACATAAAACTGTACATATGCAAACACAAATGATTGTAAAACTGGTGAGTTCCAGGTAAACTATTGCATCAATATCAATTTCCTGGTTTGATATACAAAATGTTACTATTGGAGGAATGGAGTAAATGGTATAGGGGAGCCTCCTTGGACTTTTTTGCTACTTCGTGTGAATCTGCAATTACTTGAAAAAAAAAAAAAAGCTTTAAAAATACTTTCATTTTTTCAGCAATTTAAAATTTTCCCAGGGTAGAACTGCTGGTAACACTTAGATGTTCATACTGCCAGAAACATTCATATTATCATCAAGGGCTTATAAGTTGTTTTCAATTTTTACAGATTGTCATTTGGATGAGGTTGCAGGAGGAGGACAGGACAAACACATGATCAATACAGGGTGTTTGTAAGAGCAACTGTTTAAGGGCTTTAAGGAAGGCTGTGACATTTGAATAGATCATCTGTTGGCTTCTTAGGGATATGAGGAAGAACAAGACTGGAAGCAATTATACTTAATTGATTCTAAAAGGCACCTTCCCTCCCGCTCTTTTGGCATTTTAACATCTCCCAAATTGGGATGTTTCACTGTAACTGTTAGTCAGCAGTCATACTGGATTTGTCATAGCTGCTCATGAGCATCTAAATTTGCAAAACGGGTGACTGAGGCTTGGCAGAAAATTCCAGAGACAGAAGAGAAACACTCTTTGGAAATGCCGTATCATCAAAGCCTCTGACACAGGACCACAGCATGTGGGAACCCAGGACGTCCAAAACTGAGTCAAAAAAGGAATCATTAAGGATCAGTCTCTGAATATGAAACTGTGCGTACACTGTTTCCAGGCAATTCTTTTGTATTTTCCTTTTATGATAAAAATTTATATGCATATAAACCTATGCTTTCAATAAATGTAAAATAAAAACTAAAGTGGTAAGAAAGCAGTCACAATGTATTTGTAAGTGTTTAAAAACAAGGCATAAATAATGGTACGTTTTACAACTGATGTTGGGAAAAGAGATAATTGTGAGGAGAGGGAAGAAAATTCTTAAGTATTAGGAAGAAAAAAATCGACTTGACTTGGTGAATTCTTGTGGGAAAGGTAAGGAAATGGGAGGAAATCGAGGATGGCTTCCAGATTTAGGGACAGAGGAGCCGGTCTGGAGAATTCAATTTACAATGGGTCATACTGAAAGAGGCGGATGGACGAAGCCTTCGTACTAGCTTTGGCCACTGGGACGGAGGCCCACGCCCGGACCTGGGGGCTTGGCGACCGCTCGCTCTTGCGGATTCCCCGTCCTCACGCGTGTAGGCCTGGGGCGGGAGGTGGGTGGAGTCCGCGCAGCGACCTGACACCGTCCGCCAGCACTTCAGCAGGCGGAACACTGTCCAGGTCAGCCCGCCGCTATCTGCGGGAGCCGCGTGATTGGCTGGAGCCGCCAGCGGTGGGCGGGCCCGAGTGCAGGGTCTGTCCAGTAATTGGCTAGGAAGTATTAAAAAGGCCTAACTCTATTGTCGAGGCCGCCCCCGAGGGGCTGGTCCGTTATCACCCTGCCCCGCCCCTGAGCAGGCCAGGTAAGCAAACTACAGTGGCATTGGTCAGTTGAAGGGCCCTCACCGCAACCGCTCCTTTCCGAAGTCGGAATGAGAGAACTGTGATTGGCACAACTGCAGGGGCGCGGCGCACCAGGCCGGCTGGACTTGGATGTCCGCCCATTCCGGGTGTGGATTGGACGGCGAGGTCGCTAACGTAACCCAGGAGGCGTGGCCAGCACTAATAAAGCCTAGGGCCGGCGCGGCAGCTGCAGTAAGTCCCACCGCAGCTAGATCTCCGGGTGGTTTGCGAGAGGCGGAGCTCAGCAGTTCCCTCCGCTTCACCTGCAGCGACTTCCCACCGGGTGTCTCGCCGCAGCAGCCAGAGAGGGGACCGACGCCCACTCCCTCTGTCAGAAAAATGTGAGTTGACTCTGGTGGAGGGGCTGGACACCTCCTCACCAACTCTCACCCCCAGCGCCCGACTCTGCGGGACGGAAAATGGCGCATTGCAGCAGCTGCGGCGACGCGGGGAAGCACCGCCGCGCCGTCCCCCGGTCGGCCCTCCCGGGAGGGGCAGCACCCCTTCCTGCCCCAGCCACAGCTACACCCCAGGTCGGACAGGGAGGCAGGGGTCCCACGATCACTGCACCCTCACCTCTTGTCTGCGTGGCGCTTGGTTCTGGTCTCGGTGCGGTGGAACCTCCGAGAGGCGAAGGGGGCCGTGGAGACAGACAGCGGGGTACTCGAAAGACCCTTTCTGGTCATCCGAACCTGTACTTAGGGCCAGCCCTGCAGGCTCTAGATGCGTGTGTGCCTCTCACCCAGAGTGAGACTTACCCCTCGTGGGAGGTGCAGAGCTCCAGAAACTTATTGCCAGTTCTCCGGTGCCAGCTGCGCCCCTCTGTACAACTGAGGGACGGTGGCATGGCATCGCGTTCATCCCAAGGCCACCCGTCTAGGTGGTGGTTTATGTCATGAAGTCCGAGGCAAGTATTTTTTGGAGGAGAACTAGCACTGAGCATTGTCCCTTTCTTCCAATACACAGTTCAGTTTCCAGCCATCTTCAGCATTGTTCCTTCCCAAGTTCCCGAAGAACTATGGCTAAATTAAGTACTTCTCTGTCAGGAGCACAGTGTGTTTAATAGATACTTTTCTTTCTGATTACTACTAGCTGGAGCACTGGCCTCGCCCTACATGTGTTTCTGCTGCGTCTCTTAGTAACAAATAAGAGGAAAGATTTATTGGTGTTACATAAGGGTTGTAACTATCCCTGGATATGTTACTGCTGAGTACTTCCAACTCTGAACAAGTAGTAAGCTGTGAGTTGCTCACACTGTATATAACCATTTCACTTTTTCTCTTCAATTTCTAAGGTTAACTATAAGTGCTAGTCTGTGCATGTTGGACAAGTGCTAAGAGTCCAGTTGTTTTTGTTTTGGGGGAGGGGACCCTTCTCAGCTGACTGATTCCACATAGTGCCCATGTGAGATGAACAGAAGGAGATGGAGAAAGCATGGTGGCTAGCAGGGAATCACGAGGTCTCTGACCTTAATCTTGTCATTGGTGCCACCATCCTGGACTTCTTCCAACACTGGCTGCTCCTACTCATTGAGATTTCCGCTGTCAGTCTAGATCCAGAATGCTTAGTTAGCTCAGTAGCAGTGCAAGAGTCTTAGGGCTCCCTTAGCATTGTATCATTTTTTCCCTTTGCCTTTTCTGTACCTTGCAGGAAAATGTGAAAGTGGCTCCTTAAATGGGGATAAGTCAGAATGATCTGCTAGCAAAGCCTTTCTGAGGGGTAATTGTCCATTTTTTTAGTCTGAAAGAAATTCACTTAGGGCAGAGGAACTTCTAAGTATTAGTTTTATGGTAATTAGCCAAAGACTCTCCTTTCTCCTGGCTTTGTGATGGTTTAATCTCTAGAGCTTTTGTTCGGGGACTGCACTGGTGAAGTGTGTTCTACAAAGTTCTCCTTTTCCTTGAGGAGCTCCTAAGGAAATCTCTGCTCTCCAGCAAATTGTAGAGATCCTCTGCCTCTGCCTGTGTCTTTTTCCTTAGCAGAGAAAATCTCATCCTTTAGGTTAGGCTGCTGGGAATTCGTTAACAGGTGAATTTAGCCTTCATATCTTGGAATATACAGAGAAGTTTACCTTGACCCTGCATTGAATTATTCCCTCCTAAGCCTAAGATATTCTGTAGCTGTAAGTGGTACTGAAAGAGACAACAGTATCCATGTGTGTACAGTAATGTAAAGGTTTCTCTATGGAATGTAGGGAACTAAGGATGTCCCTTGAAATTCTGCCAAATGTAGAAAAGGAAAGGACAGAATGTTTATGATGCATGTACACTGAGCACTATTTGTAGCATTTTTACTTCCTGTCTATGTTCTTGGAACAGTTTCCATTACTAACGCAATTGTTTTGGGCTCCAGATTCATTGTAAGTGAAACCCCTGTTTTCTTTGCCACAAACAATGCAAACAAACAGTCCTGATTCAGTCCATCTATGTAGATTGACTTAGTCCATCTATGTAGGCTTTGCTATTGGTGATCTTCAAAGCTGTGGTTATAGCAGCCCTGAACTACTAATCACTGCATGAAACATAGTAAGTGGATCCCCATAAGCAGTGTCTGTCATTTTGCCCCTGCCTTCTATAATCACACTTTGCAGTTGAGTTCATTGGCTTGTCCTGAGGGTTTAGTCTTTTCTCCTACTCCACATTGGGTTTTCCCATTTTGCTTCATGTGAAGGCTTCTGACAGCCAGAAAAGTGCCATTTAGGTCAAGGTACCTTTGTCCCGGTAGCTGTTGTGTTACAGTTTGGGTCAGAGGCTATCCCCAAACAAGGTCTTGTAATGACACTGAATGCCAGCTAAAAGTTATTATGGGTTCTTTCATCTTTTGCTTTTTGCCTCTATGTGGCCTGTCTCTACTTGGAATTGCCAAGGGGCTAGAATCTCTTCCATTAACATAGAACCTACTCACAGTTGCTTTGGCGAGCATGCTTGCCATTCCTTTCTTCCCTTGTTACTTTGTCTGCTCTCCACTTCTCAGGTCTGCTCCAGCTCAGCCACCAGCTGAAGGGACGGAAGGGGCTGCCCCCGGTGGGGGTCCTCCTGGCCCTCCTCCCAACATGACCAGCAACAGACGACTACAGCAAACCCAGGCGCAAGTAGAGGAGGTAGGTGGATAGATGTTTCTCTGAGACTTTCTAACTGCAGGAGTTCAGAAGCGAGGGAGCATCTTGTCTGTTCTCTTTTTTTATAGGGAGATGGTTAAAAGCTCTGGAGATAAAGCATTCCTTAGTTACACAGATCTAGACTTGTGATCCTCCAGATGTTCTTTCTCATCTCTAGCAGGACACTTAGCAGCTCTGACTGTGCACCCCTCACAGGTGGTGGACATCATGCGTGTGAATGTGGACAAGGTCCTGGAGAGGGATCAGAAGCTGTCAGAGCTGGATGACCGAGCTGACGCCTTGCAGGCGGGAGCATCACAATTTGAGAGCAGTGCTGCCAAGCTAAAGAGGAAGTATTGGTGGAAAAACTGCAAGGTGAATTTCCTTGTCCTCTCTGCTTTCTTTTCCTGGGCTTCCACTTGTAAAAGGCAAGAAAACCCTTGACCTCTACAGTCCTTCCCTCTAATGGTGCCAGATCTGTGCCCTGCACTACTCTTGGGAGGAATCTGAGTGTGTGCTCTTGAGAGATGAATACTCACGTTGGCCACCAGGGTAGGCTAGAGTATTAAGAACCTCTCAGAGCAAGTGCTACCCTGAGAGGTTTAGAATGAATTAGGAACTTTTCTCCATAGGAGTCTCCTGCAAGAATTCTTCCATGGCCTTTCCTCAGACACACCCAACAGCAACACAGTAGCTCAGGATTAAAATATCTGCAACTTCTGAGAATGCACTAAATTTTTTTTTTTCCCCCGGTACCGGGAATCGAAATCACGACCTCGCGCTTGCCAGGCAGGTGCTGTGCCGCTGAGCTAAATCCCCAGTCCCCTAAATTCTTCACAATGAAAACAAAACCAACTGAATAAAGATTCAAAGTCTACCTTTCCATTAGAATTCCTTTTCAAGTCCCCAGGCAAAAGGAGCTGAGCCAGAAAGAGCCAGCTGCTCACTCTGTGCTGGTCCTGAAGAGCTATCCACAAGGTGCTGGGCTTTCAGTCCCATGGGAAGCAGAGGGTTAGGCCCTTCTTAGAGGCCTGCAGGTTTTCTGAGTGGTGGGTAGCATCTTCCACTGTCCCGAGGATGGAGGAAGTTCTGCTCCCACATCTGTGGTTCTGGTTCCTTTCCTCCTGCCCCGAGTCCATGGGCTCATGTGTGGTCTGTGTTTCCTCAGATGATGATCATGCTGGGAGCTATCTGTGCCATCATCGTGGTAGTTATTGTAAGTAAGTATCGCTGAGATTGCTGATGGGGTGAAGAGGTGGGAAGGTCCCGGAATCTTCTCCCAGCCCTGCCTGCCTGCCTGCCTGGGGAGTGGGGCTGCTCTGACTGAGGTATGGAGACTGCTGCCGTGGGATTGTCATGGGCTTCGGGAGGGAGGAAGAGCTGAATTGGGCAACTTTCCTGGTGGACAGGCCTTCCCCTGCTCTGAGGGAGCGGGGCTGTGCCATTTGTCACTGGCTTGGGTCAGAGGGAGACCATGGGGCTGGGACACTTACAACTGGTAGGCCTGAATGTCTGGTAACTTGATGTAATTTGCCCTCTTGTTTTCTCCTGTCTTTCTCTTTTCCATCTGGAACTTCCTGATTCCTGTGTCCAGTCTACTTTTTTACTTAGGAATGTGCCATCCCTTCCCTGTTCTCCATTGCCATCTGAGCTCATGTCCTTCTCCTTGTTTGCTCTCTCAACAAACTTCCCATCTGCCTTCCTCCACCCCAGCCTGGGCTTCCCCATCATTCATTACTCCTTTTTGGTTGCATTCATTGCACTCTGTCCCTCAACACTAGAAATGCTGCTCATGGCGCAATCTTGAAGTCACTACCTGAAGAGCAACAGCTGACGCCTCTTCCCTACCCTCTTCTTATGACCTTTTATGTTCCTCCAAAGCCAGAAAGAATCAGTGGCCAAAGGCAGAGGCAGGGGAAAGGCTGAGATAAAGAGCCCAAGATGCTGGCAAGGCAGGTGGCAGGAGAAGGGTATTGGTGCCTATGGCATCTCCTAGAATGGCTGGCTGCTGGCAGGAGGGGATTATGTGTGGATGGGAAAGTGTGACTTGCCCTGTGCCGCCCTCATTGGACCCTCCCGAGGGCCCCGGGGTCAGCAGGTCCTGATGCAGTACCCGTTTAGAAAGTCAAGCCTGTTTTTTGCAGTTATTGCTAATCTGTTGGTTTAAGATTTTCTGTTTCTTCAGGGATCTTCCAGCTATTTGCTTTGTTCCCTCTAGGTCTGGAAAACAAGTCTTTACTGATTGTAAAAATACCAGGAGACTGTTTTAGAAACGGTCTTTTGCTTCTACTAGAAGGAGCTGTCTTTTCATGTTTTCTGCAGCATCCTGTGTTGTTCATGAGAAATCCAACAATTTCATTGGCCAGAGTTTGGGACTCTTAGTCAGTTTTAATTCTGGGCATACAGAGAGGATGCCTGTTATAGAGAAACAGTGAGTTGAGGGCCTAATTTGAAAATAACAAGCTTGCAGGAAGCAACTTTTTGCCCTCTTGCAAAGCAAGGTCCAGTTCCTCCCTTCCTGTTGATAAAGGAATGTGAGAGTGTTAGAGGTGAGCTCCTTAGACTCCCATCAGACCCTTCTGTGCCAACCCAGGTACTTGCTTAAGATAGGGATGAAGCAAGAGGTCCTTCCCCAGGCCTGGCTGATCCAGAGGGCTTAGGGGAGGGGAGTCCAGCAGACGCAGCAGCTCAGTCTCAGGGTATGAGCAGTTCATTCAGAGCTGGGCGTATGTCACAGGCCCTTTGCACCAGAGCTGCCTGACCATTCTTCCCGAAGTGCATTCCCCTTCTGAAGCACCCTCACCCCTCTGAATTGTGCTGCCTCCTTTCTGTTCCTTCTCTTTGCATGTTTTGTTCACACAGACCATACAACCTGAGCAACCAGAGGATAGGAGTAGCTCAGCCTATCCTGGGGGCTTTGCTTTTTTTGGTGGTACAGGAGATTGAACTCAGGGCCTTCACAGTGAGGACATTTTCAGCCCTTTTTGTAATTTTTATTTTGAGAGAGAATCTTGCTGAGTTGCCCAGATTGGGCTTGAACTTGTGATTCTCCTGCCCCAGCCTTCTAGAGTGCGGAGATTTATAGGTGTGTGACACCTTGCAACTCCTGGGAGCTATTGCTGAGCTTCAGGATGAGATAAACCCTGGTGCTGGGGGAAGAGGGCAGGCTGGAAACAGGAACGGGAATACCCTTGACCTTGATACCTTCTGTCTGCTGGCGCACAAGTAGGCAGAGGCCGAGGCCACAGTGGGCTGGATCCGGATGCTATTTTCCATGCAGCAGCATTTCACTGTGCAAGCCATCCTTCCTTTCCCTTCGCCTGTTTCCCGCACTCCCTTCGTCCTGCCCCAGAGCGGGACTGAAGAGCTGGAAGAGCACAATCAGTGCACCCTCCCAGCATCCCCTCGGAGGTCTTCACTCTCCTCTGGCTCCTCCTTGCCTAATGTAGGGGTCACCGCTGGAGAAGATCCACCACTGTCCTGGATGTGTCCCAAGCCTGGAGCAAACCTGCCCTCTTGGCCCACCCAGCCCTAGCACGGGATTATTTCCTGGGTTTCTGTCTCCCTGAGGCTCACCAGGTGTAGCTAGCTCTGTTCTTTTGGGGATGTTTGCCCTTCTACTTTCTTTCTCACCCCAACCCGAACCTCTTCTGTGTCTTTGCTGTTTCCTCTCCCCTCCCACTCCCCAAGTGCATGAGCAGATATGCAGCTAACACAGGACTCTGCAGTCAAATGAAGCCGAGCTCCCCACATTCCCTTCTTCGGTTTGCCATGAGATGATGTGGGGTTTTCACTGTGTGTCTGTCATTACCTCCTTGTCTTTTTTCCTAACCCCAATCTCATACTTGTATAGAATAATAATGGTTGTACTTCTACCAAAGGCATGTGGCATATTTACCAATTTCATGTATTCTGAATAAAGGCAAAAAATACAAATTCCTACCACTCAGCTGGCTCAGTGATTGTTTGGGTTGGAGTCACAGGAGGGAGAGGAGGGGCATGTTGTTTCTCTGTCAAGTCCACGTGGCTGCGGGCAGGAAGGGCTGCTCATGTGTGCTGTGTGGTGTTGTGTTGGCAGAGGAAGTGGTCTGTGCTCGCGGTGTTTGTATCTGAAGCAGCCCAGCTCTTGCAGGTGCTGGTGAAAGGAAGTGATGACAGGAAGTCGAGTGGGCATCTCTCACAGCAAACAGCTCAGACTTCCTCAGGCCTCTCTCCATTGCCTCCTTGCTGGTCCCAAGCCTGCTTGTTCTGTCCCAGGGGATATGCCCATAGGCCTCTAGCACACAACACCTTTCCCCATTGTCCTCACCTGCTGTTTGCTTAGGCAGCTCCACTGCTGACCCAGCACATTGTAGGAATGAATAAAAGGAGATGCCCATCTTCCACAGCTGAGGGAGTGAGGATTTACAGGTATCCTGCAATTCCTAGCGGCCATCTGAAGGAGCAGGCCTTAACTGAAGGTTAGGGCTACATGGAGCAGCAGAGATGGAGCCCCAGCTTGCCTCTGAGGACCTGTGTTTCACAACTTCCAACACTTTGCAAGTAGGAACAGCTGTGACTCAGGCTAGGCCCAAATTGGGACCACCATGGACTGGAAAATGGGAAAGTGGACACAAGGGCTTTTATTTTGACAGAGTTCTGTTTGTGAGGGCTGACCCTGTCCCCATCCTGTACCCATTGTTGGTCACTCCTTCCTCCATTTCTTTTTGTTCTTTTTTCCTCCCACCTCACCTCAGATGTGACCCTCTGATGTCAACTCCCCCAGATGTTCGGGCTTCCTGTGGCCCCTTCTCTGCCCAAGGCACACAGTGAAGGAAGGTGGGGCGTGCTCAGGTGCAGGGGTAGGCCCTCCCTCAGGTCTGGCACTTCCTGAAGGTCTTGCCCAGCCCTGCTGCGGTGCTGCTGGAGAATGAGACTGTGCTGAGCCTGGAGCGTGGCTACTCCGAGTGCCGCAGGGTCTTGACAAACCTTGTTGAGGAAGCTAAGAGAAACCAGGGAACAGGATGGGATTCACTTAAGGTTACCTCAGCAGCAAGAGGCTATCTGGGGTGGTAGGGTGGCTGGGTGGCGGGGGCATCTGGAACACACATATCTGGGCTGTGTCCTTGTCTGGATGATGTGGTGCTCAGAGTGGGATGATCTACAAGTCAGCTGGGTCAGGAGCCAGAGCCCGGGGCTTGGGTGCTCACCTTGCCGTCTCTGAAGCCCCAGGAACAACAGTGCAAGAAGGAAGAGGCAGCTGGCAAAGATGACTCCATTGGCCATTTCCCACTCTGTAGGGAGAGCAGCATGGGTAGAGGTCGGCCCTGTCCCAAGCAAGGTGTGTGTGCATGCACACGTGTGTACACCCCAGGGAGGAGCTAGGAGCCATGCATACAGTTCACATCACTCCTGCTGCTCCACACTCACTCCTGCCCCTTCTCTCAGGACAGCATCTCAGAAATTGCTTGTGAGAGATTCAGGGTCGTCAGTCACTGACAGTTAAACTAGACTTTGCAAATAACTGGGAAACAATGATGCAAACTAAGGCATAAGCCCAGTTTTGGAGAAACACAGTCTAGCAAGCAACCGGATAATGCCCCATGTTCCTGGACATCTGCTTTTCAAGGTGAAGACCCTTTCTTTTCTGTCCCCTCCCTGTTCCTTTTCAGCAGTATCCAGTGGCTTTCAAAGTGACATTCCAGTTAGAAGGCCCATTGAGATTACAGAGTTTAAGCCTGTAAGGGGAATCACATTTCCTCTTTTGCCATTTATTGGTAGGGGACCCTGGGCACATTATTTAACATCTATGAATGCCAGCTTCCTGGGAGTTGTGTGCTGTGGTGCACACTCCTAGTCCCTGCTCCTTGGGAGGCTGAGGTGGAAGATGACTTGAGCCCAGGAGTTTAAGGCCAACCTGAGCAACGTAGTGAGATTCCGTCCCCAAAAATAAGTAAAATGGAAGATTATACTTAAAATGTAAGTGCTTATTATAGTACTTGACTCATGTAAATGCTTACTAAATATGATTACCTCTGAAACTTCAAGCTATTTCCCTTTCTTTCACATTACTCTTGGCTATAGCTGTATTAAAGAACTTGTAGTTCCTTCAATCTTTTTTCAGCTGTTTTATAATTTGACCTTTCTGTGTGCTGTTCTTTCCGACTCGCGTGTCCCTTCCCCTCAGCTGGCCCCCCGAGTGTCCTCCATTGCCCACTAGTCTTGTCTCCAGGAGGGGCAGGATCAGGAGTCCTTCCATCTTGATCTCCCCCAAACACACTGCCTGGCCCCCTGGAGGCTGGGGAGGACCATGTGGTGGAGGCTGTTGCCTTGGGAAAGCCAGAACAGGGCAGCAACATGAAGGGGCTGGGACTGAACAAAGTGTGTGGGTGGCAGCATGAGGCCAGAGCCCAAATCCAGCGTGAGCCCAAATGCAGGTGATGCAAGAGTATGTCCAGTACCTGTGATTGGGTCAATCCTGGTGCTGACCATGAGGGGCTGCTCCAGAGAGACGTGGGTGACCTGGCAGGTATAAATGGCACCTGTTGGGCCGGGGTCCGCTATCAAGTAGGACGAAATGCTATAGGTGCCTGCCATGCTTTTCCTGAGGCTGGAGAAGGAGGCACCAGAGACTTGGACTGGGTCTCTGCTCCCCTCCTGTCGGATCCACGTCACCACCATATCCAGAGGGTAATAGCCAGTGACTTTGCAGGTGAGGGTGGGCAGCGGGGCATCATTCGTTGAGCTCAGCTGTACTTTTGGGGAAGCTGGGGAAAGAATAAGGAATAAAATTCTTGAGGGGTCCAACTGGGGCCAACAGGCGAGTCTGAGCCTGAAGCCAGTGGGAGTGAGTGGGCTGTGGAGGCCACGGTTTTCTCTGTTGTTCCAAGGAGTGGGGGTCTGACGATGCTGGCTGTAATTACTTTCTGGAAAAGTCACAGCACTAGCTTTCCTCTTCCTCTTTTTTTCAGTAGTATTGGGGGTGGAACCTCAACCATGCTGGGCAAGTGTTACACCCCTAAGCTGTACCCCCAAACCCATGACTTCTTTTTTTTTTTTGTTTTTTTCCCGGTACCGGGAACCAAACTCACGATGTCAAGCTTTCCAGGCAGGCACTGTGCCATTGAGCTAAATCCCCAGCCCCAAACCCATGACTTCTTGTCATCACTGCAAGCCAGCAGCTTTGAAGGAAACCAGGGGTAAAATATTCCTTCTGGTCAGAATTGCTCCCACCACCCCTTCTTAGTCTGCTGCTGCTCCTTAGGATGTGGTCCAAAAGGACTGGGGTGATTGCAGGTGGCCAGCCAGGGCACAGCAGGGCAGGGCAGGGCAGCAGGATCCTGGCTAGACAGCTCCTGGTGGAGTTATGTGGAGACCCAGAAGACACCTGTCTGATGCCCTCTGTACGTCTACAATGAAAATGGTGTGTAGCTGGGGTCATACAGTCTGCCTCTCAGGAAATCCCCTTGTATTTGCATCATATTTTAATCTGGCAAACAATCCCAATAGGTGTGTCCCTTCCCTCACCCAGGTGACCAATCCCTGGCCTCACCTTGGATGTTGAGCTGGAGGATTTGCTGAGCTTGGTACAGAGAGGTAGTGATCTGACAAATGTAGGTTCCCTCGTCCTTCAAACTGAGGCTGGGCAGGGTAAGGGAGGCATCCCCGGCCCTGAGAAGCTGCTCGGGCGGTAGGGTGGCACCCTCCCGCTTGGCCTGCCCCTGCCCTTGCCCGGTCTTCCATCTGTGTATCAGTTGGCCACTGCCCCTGTGCTGCAGCCGCCACTCCACACTGGTGAGGTCCAGGCCTGGTGCCATTGAGAAGCCACAATCCAGGGAAGCTGAGGAGCCCAGCAGGAAATTCAGGGACTGGGTCAGTGTTGTCACCTGAAACTCCACTGTGGGGATAAAAAGGGACAACTTGTGAGCTGCTTCCTCCTTGAGGTCACCTGGTCTCTCAGCTGTGGGTGGACACTGGCCCTGCCCCCTGCCCTGGACAGTCAAGCCAGTTGAGTTCATTTCCCATCAACTGAAGCCACAAAGAAATGGGGCCCTGGAAGAACAGCTTGGTGCACGGGGATCGCTCACACCTCAGACTGTCTGATGAGAGCATGGATCTCTCACCAGGAAAGATACACAGGCAACATTATCAAATTCATGCTATTGGTATTCGCCCTTACGGAGCCACCACCAGCACAGCTGCAGTTCCAGAACCCTGGCTCTTCCGCTTACTAGCTCTGTGATTATGACAAGGCGCTCAGTGTCACCAGGCTCATCTGCTCAAGTAAGGCTGCTGTGAAGACTAGGATAAGAGAATAAAAAGCACACACTGTTGGTATTTGTCCCAGACTTGCTTGACCTAAATCAATCATGAGGAAAACAAATCACACAAATAGAAATAGTGGGATATTCTACAGGACAGCTAGCCTGGACTCTGCAGCAATGTCAAGGCCAAGCCAGGTGTGTTGGCACATGCCTCCAACCCCAGCACCCTGGGAGACTGAGGCAGGAAGACAGCATGTTCAAGTCCAGCCTGGGGCCAGCTAGTGAGTTAGCAAGAGACCCTGTTTCAAAATTTAAAAAGCGCTAGGGCTGTAGCTCAGTGTGAAGGCTCTGTGTTCAATTCCCAGTATGAAGAGGAATGAAGGAAGGCAAGATGGAAGAAAGAAGGGAAAAGGGAGTCAGGGCAAGTGGGGGATATAGCTCTGTGGAAGGCCCTAGGTTTGATCCCCAGTACTACCACACACACACAAAAAAAATCCACCAAAAAAACCAATGCTATAAAAGACTGGTCTAGACTGAAGAATAGGAACAAAACGCAATGCATGATTTTTGTTTGAATCCTGGACTTAAAAAAGTAAAAGCTATTTTAAAAGTGGGACAATTGGAGAACTTTGAATTTGGACTTTGTATTTGAGAGTAGCATTATATCAACTTAAAAAATATCTCCTGCTAACTGGAAGCTTTCCAAGTAATGGGGGACAGGAACCCTGGGAGGAGGAGCACCTTATTACTGATCCTATGCAAAGTGCCAGTGGAGGGTGGTGGTGGGGATGTAACGCCACCTGACTGCTAGTTCATTTTGTTATTAAATTCTCTATACACGGCACCATGAGTGTAGACCACTCCCCCCACCTTGGTTGGCTTCTAATGTGATAGCTTTGATTATGAAGAATGACCTTGTCCCTCACTAGAGACCTATACATCACCATATGGGAGCACTTGGGGTGAAGTGTTTTGATAGCCGACATTTTGTTCAGGAGAGAGATGTATCTATTTGCATATTGAAAAGAGACAGAGGGGGGCAGGCAGAAGAGTATCAATTAGCAAACCTAGGTAAAGGATCTATATATGCTTTATATTATTCTTCCATGTTTTTTGTAGGTTAGAAAAAATCCAAAACAGCAGTATAATAGCAAACCATGTCGGGCTTACATTACACACTGAGCAGATGTATCTCTCCCACTCCCTCTTTTCCCTCTTCCTCTCTTTTCCCTTCTTCCTTGACAGGGATAGGCTGGCTGTGGACTCACTAACCAAGTTGAGTACAAGTTGACCTCAAACTCAAGATCTTCCTGCTTCAGCCTTCTGAGGGCTGGAATTATAGGCATAGGCCACCATGCCCAGCTAGAATCTTTCTTTTCTGATGTGGCAGGTTGCATTTATTTGGGCCTCAGAAAGGTTAGTGCTCTAGGACTTTCCCAGGATAGAAGAATAGCCCTGTCATCTTCTGTGTACATGGCTGGCAAAATATTGGTTTAGATGGGCTCTGGAGAAACCTGTCATCTGGAGAAACCTGTTCTTAACTTCATGTGACTTTTAGGATATGCTAAGTTACAGAGGGCAAGGGCTGGGCTTTACTAATAGGAGAAAATGTGTATGTGCTACTGAGGTGAGCATGCTAATAAAAGATGTGTCTGTATGCCTTGCTGTGATTATTTTGGAGTACCAGACTGACTTAACTTTTCTCTGGGACAAAACTAGTGCTTGCCCTAATAAGGGTGCAAGGACAATGTATGTGAATAGAAAGCTCCTGCATTCCTGTTGGGCCTTGGCATCCTGTGAGATGAAATCATCTCCCTTTGGAGATGATATATAGGTTTTCTTTGTGCTGAGACCCTCTCTCAACTTGTGGGCCTCACAGCATTCTCCTGTCTGGACTCGGGACCCTGAGCTGATCCATGCAGCAGATGGATGTCCCTTCTATTGCATCTCTTGCCACTTTACAGAAACAGAATTTCTTGCTCCTTGCTTTTCATGTCCTCACCTGTGGTCCGCACTGTCCCCTGGGGGCCCAGGGGCAGGTTCAGCGTGGGCTGCCGGACAGCGCCTTCATCCGCATCCCCGAGAGTCTTCATTACCATGGAGACACTGGGTCCGGGTCTAGGTACCTGCACGTTGGCCATGAACCAAGTGGCCTCGGGTCTGCCCTGGAGCAAGTAGTGGGAGATCTCACAGTTCACCACCTTCCCACTGCAGTCAGCGTGGAGCAGGGCTGTGGCCTGCGGAATCTGTACCCCGTCCACTGGGGAGAAGGGGATGCAAAGAGGTTGGGATGGTGTGGGCAGGGGCATGTGGGGGCTGGGCCATCTCAGGAGAGGGAGCCCAGAAGGATAAGAACACAGGGTGAACGGTGCTTACCTGAGGCCTCAAAGATAACAAGTGGGTCATCCTTGGCCACTGTGTCCCCTTGGAAGTCAGTGAAGCCTTCCAGGGAACCATCATCCAGCACTGGCACCTGCTTCAGCACCAGCAAGGCCTTCTCCCTGTTCATGTCTCTGGCAAAAGCCCTGGGGTGCTCAGCTTCTGTTACCAGGAAGCAGTCCAAGATCACGTCCACTGCCCGCAGCTGCCTTTCTGCCACCTGAGGCTCTGCCGGCGACATTCTGGGGTGAGCATCCTCTCACAGAAGGTTACTCCACACCTGCTTTGCACCTGAACACCCCAAATACAGACTCATCGAGGGGTCAGAGTTGTCTTTGGGGTCCTAGGTGTCTGTGTACCTGTATTCTGTCTTCCAACCAGTTTGCCATGCTGGGCAAATACTTGTTAGTGTGAATTATTATTATTTAATTTTCAGTTTTTGGAGACAAGGTCTTACTGTGTAGTTCAGGCTGGCCTTGAACTCACTATATAGCCCAGGCTGGCCCTGATTGAACCCACAGCCATCCTCCTGCCTCAGCCTCCTGAGTGCTAGGATTATAGGCATGTGCCATTATGCCTGGCTGCTGTGAATTATTTAAAATCCTGGATCTGCCTTGCTCAGAAGAGTTTATGCTTTTAGTTTTATTCCAATTATGAATGAAAGACCGTCTCTTCAGTCAAAGGAATTCTCAGGAAAAGCAAGTAAGTGAGCACACAGTGCTGTGGGAAGGAGCCAGCCAGGCACTTGCTATAGCTCCTCCGTGAGGGCATCTTCCGGTCTCCAGCGCGCCTCTCCGCCACTGCGGTGGCCTCCCCGCCCCCGCCGGGAGTCCCTTTCTGAGAGATTTCCGGGGCCGGGGAATGTTCCCAGGCCAGTGCCTTCTCCCTCGTGGGACAGCGGCTCCCCTGCCACTTCCAGAGAGGCGCCCTCTTTACCCTTTTTCCTGCGGGGTCCTCAGCCCCTCTCCCCACACCGTCGATCCTTTAACTTGCTGGCCATGAGCCTCTGGCCCGGTGTCTTAGAAACCTGGCCCCCTGGTCCTCCTGGCCCTTGGGCCCTTCTGGCGCCCCGACGAAGGCGGCCACCTGGGCCCCCTAGGCCCGCGCCTCCCCAGCCAGTAGTGACTCACCGGTTCCGGCTCCCGCTGCTCGGGACAGAGCCGCGTACAGCAGCAGCCACCAACCCTGCCCGGCGCCCATGGGGCCGCAGTCCTCGACAAGCTGCCCGTGCCCGCGGCCACCCCGCTGGTGCCGCCGGCCTGGAGGAGAGCTCCGGAACACCCCTCTCTTGGCCCGTGGGTTTCTTCAGGGTCCTCTTTGGACTTCTCTTTCGCTTTCACTTGCTCTCCTAGTCACTGTAGCTGCCTTTGCCTCTAGGCAAATGCAGACGGAGTAGCTGCCAGAGCCCTGCTCCCGGTTCTTCCACTTTCCTCGGCCCCCAAGTCTGCGGGTGATTTCGCTGCACTCATTTGCTTACGCTGAGCCCCAGGAAAGTGGGGCTGTAAACTGCGCGGATGGGGCAGGGGACGGAGCAGGGGACGGGGCACGGGCGACGGAGCCAGAGGGGATTCCGGGTGCTGGTGTGGCTTGGGCACTGTCCACCTTTTCTGCTGGGGCCATACCCTCTATGGCCCCACCTCAGGCTAGGGGCTGCAGAGAGGAACCAGAGAGCTGCGGTGTAGGAGTCTGTCACCTTTTTTAAAATTAGATTTTACTGATACATTTTAGATATACACAATGATCACATTCATCAGAGAGAATTTGTACCTGTACATGGTGTAACTTGATTCTTTCTTCTCCATTCCCCTCCCCTCCCTTCAACCCCTCCTCCATCCACTCTCTGTTTACAAAAGCTTTGTTTCCATTTTTTCCTTTTTTTCCTCACTTTTTTTAAAAAAACTTTTCCCATCTTTTCTTTTTCCTCCCCCTCCTTTATTCCCTCCCCATTTGAACATTTTCTTCCTATTTCACAATACCTGATACACATTTTAGTCCTTATTTACCCTTTCAGTTTCTCACACCAGAGAAACAATGGTGTCACTTTTATTTTGCCCATGTTGTTGTTGAGACAGGGATATAACATTTGGGGCTTTTACTGCCAGAGCCTGGGCCGTCCTGCAGTTCAGGGGCCAGACTTGCTGTGCTCTTGTCCAGGTCACGCCAGTCTGGGGCAGGCACTTTGTCAAGTGTGTGCACAGCAAAGGGTCTCGAGGAGAGGACGGACTGGAATAGGTCCTGATCTCGCTTTGGATGGCCAGTGGGGCAGAGAAGAGGCCAGGGCCTTGTTGTGGTGACACCTTCCCTCCCACCCAGCTATTCAGGGGTAGGAAGGCAGTTCGGGCTTCCGGTGGTCCTCCTGGATGGGGATGGTGTGGCCCTCCTCCTCCCGGGGGTAGCTGTATGCACAGGGCTCCGCAGACTCCTCTGGGTTTGCTCCTTTGTCTACAGAGGAATGAAGTGTAGACAGGAGGTAAAGCAGGAGGACAGGAGCTGAGGAGGCTGAACTTGGGGCTGTCAGGAAGGCGCCAGGATGGGGGACGGGAGAGTGGGGACTGGGCTGGTGAGGCTGGGGCTGAGGAGGTGTCAGGGAGGTTCCAGGGGTGGCAGCAGGGCTGAGGTGGCGGGTGTGGCATGGTGCCAGGATGGGAGGCCTGGATTCTGTCTCTTACTTGATTGGCATTTTCTCTGTTGGTAGAGGAATAGAGCTCCGGCCAGGGTGAAAACCAAAAGTATTCCGGAGACGATCACGAAGAGGCGGACACAATCTGAGCTGCACAGGGACCCCTGGGCTGTGAGAGGCAGGGCACACAGGGCTTTTGGGAGGGTCTGGCCCTGCCCTCCTGTCACCCCTGCCTCTCTCTCTCCTACCCTAGCTTGTCCCTCTCAGTAGACTCTGTTCCCTCTTCGTATCCCTCGTCATCGGAGCGTCCTACCCGGCCTCTCTGCTTTCTCGCTGGGGCTGGGGATTAGGAAGAAAACTCACATGGCCTGAGGGTGGTGAGAGCTAGGGCTGGCAGCTGCCTGAAGCTAGCTGGAGTCTGCACAACCCTGACTGTCCTGGCCTCCAGCACCTCTGGGAAAACAGCCCAAGTGAGCCCTGCAGGGCACTCTGTGCTGCAGGCCCACGAGCTGCTGGGAAGGCAGGAGCAGGCTGGCCAGGAACTCTCTGGGGTGGATGCGGGAGTGGGGAGCACTAGCTGAGGTGTCACCCTTGCCCCAAGTACTGGACACCGGGGTGGGGGCTGGAACTTACTGTCCGCATAAGGTGAGTGGCTTGGTAGAGGGTATGGGCCTAGGGGAGAGATGGTCCAGCCCGGAAGAGGGTCACACTCGGTGCACGCCGCATCCCTGCATTGCCGGCCCACGGGGCAGGCACACTGCGTGTTGGTGGTGATGGTGCAGTTGTGAGTGGAGATACCTGGTGAAAGAAGGTCGGGGACAGAAGACACTCAGGCCTCAGCCACCTTCGGGTCCACATGTTCAGTCCCCAGCACCATTTCAGGCTCAGCTTGGGGCAGGATCCGTTTCCATTCCCTCTGCCTCACCCTGCCCCCAGGAGGGCCTGCCTCTCCCTCATGGTCACCTCTGGCCTTCAATGTTATTATGGTTGTTACTAAAGAAGAAAGTTAGTCATTTCAGAACATCTTTAGGCTCAGAAATGGAAACTGCAAGGCGGAAAGAACTTACATGGCTTTCTTTCATTACTCATGGATACTTTCCTAGCTTTCTACTGAAATGTGATATAAGTGCAGAGAAGTGCATGTGTCCGAAGTATAAGCCGTAGGTGGAATCATACAGTATGGACTTATTTCTGTCTGGCTTCTTTTTCTGAGCTCCTTGTGCATGCAGTTCCTCCATGGGGCTGACTGGAATTGCAGCGTGTTCATTCTTGGTGCTGCAGGAACCCATCACTGTGTGAAATTTCCCAGTTTCAGCAGTTAGGAATGGTGTTACCGTGATGCTGATGGGCTTTTAACTTTACTACAGAGTTACTGATTACAGACATCCTTTGCCATTTGCCTTTTTTTTTTTTTTGTTTTGAGACAAGATCATATTATGTAGTTTGGGCTGGCCTTGAACTCCTTATGTAACCCAGGCTGGCCTTAAACTTACAGCAATCCTCCTGCTTCAGCCTCCCGAGTGCTGGGATTACAGGCATGTATCACCATGCTCGGCTCCTTCACCTTTTAAACATGAATTTTACTCCAGTGTAGGGGTCAGGTGCGGGGTGATGGGGGGTCTGGGCTGGGTTGGCAGATGGTTGGGGCTGAGAGGAGGGTGAGTTGGAGGACAGCAACACCTAGATGTGGGACAGGCTTGAGCACGAGCCTCGGGGATGCACACTCATTGGAACCTGCGTGTCCTTGGAACTGTGACAGGTGGAAGAGGGGCCCAGGAAGGGAGAATGCCAAAGAGCGCTCTCAGCTCTAATACTTCCTTTCCTTATGCCTTTTGTCAGGACATGGGAGAGACAGGTTCTTTCCTGTCCTTACCGCTGTGGCCGCTTCTGAATTCTGACTCTGGATTGCTACTAGAATTTAGTGTCTTTGTGGCTGGCCAGGAACTGTGTGTGAGCCAACCTGGACAAGGATCCATTAAGGAAGAGCTGGAGACACTGGGGACAGGATGGGGGGCTCATGAGGTTGTCTGCTAAAAGGGAAAGGGCAGGGCTGAGGAAGGTGCAGGGCTCCTCACTACGGATGAAGAAAGTGCCCTTGCCTGCAGGGGTGAGTATCCATTTACCTGTCTAACCTGAGCACAAAAGCCAGCTAATGTCAGGCACTTCCCGTCTTAAAGATGCAAACACTGAGACAGAGCACCAGGTGCACTATGGTGTGGTCCCCAGGGTCCTTCTGTAGCCAGATGCTGCCTGAGTACTTTAGAATCTGAAGGCTGAGTCTCCCAGAGGAGACCTGTGTGCGGATTGAGGTTCTGGGATCAGAGCAGGGGCCAAGACTGGCTCAGTACAGGAGGGAAAGGGCTCTGGCTTGGCAGGGCCTGCAGAGTGAGGAGCGGGGCGAGGGCTGTAACTAAAAGGCTCCACTCTGCAGAGGCTGCAGCCAGGAAGAGAGAAGTATCTTTAACAATCACAGCTCAAAGCTTCTTGAGGACTATTTTTTATATATTAATGATATTGCTTGTGTGTGTGTGTGTGTGTGTGTGTGTGTGTGTGTGTGTTACTGGGAAAGGGGCCCAAGCCCTTATGCATGTTAAGTACACATTTTACCATTGAGCTACAAGATGTACCTCTTTGATTTGCAATCACAAAACTTTTCTTTTTGAAAGCAGTAAAAGACCTGGTGAGACCAAACACGAGGTACCGCTAAGTGGTTTGGTAGTTCCAGGGAAGGAGAAGGTTGTTAGTTCAAAGGGACCACTTTAAAACCTGCTGTTGTGTACGCTGACATAGTTTCTGAATTTTTAGCTAAAATGGAGAAATAAGAGTAGAGTCCATGGGCTGGGGATTTAGCTCAGCAGCACAGCACCTGCCTGGCAAGCATGAGGTTGTGAGTTCGATTCCCAGTACCGGAAAACAAAAACAAAAAAAGAGTAGAGTTCATAAGCACAACTACAGGTACTGTATCTCTCAAGTTTAAAAGAGATGAAGTTACAAAATAAGAAAAACACAGGGCACATACATACTCTTCTGCCCCGACCCCAGAAAAAAGACTTTTATGCAAAAAAGGTCATTACCTCCTGGCTTATGTTATTTTTTCCTTAGAAAGAAGTATTAGAAATGTTAAGTAGCTGGCTTACAAATGTGCAATCTGTAACACAGTATTTTATCAGTTGGGAGTTGGTTACTTGTCAAAAATTTGGGGTCCCAGAATCACTTCCCTCTTTGTATATACTTTTCTTTGGGGAAGCAATGTCTCCCTGTATTGCTCAGGCTGGCCTTGAATTCCTGGGCTCAGGTGACCCTCCTGCCTCAGCCTCCTGAGTAGCTAGGATTACAGGCCTGTACTATCACACCCAGCCATGTCACTTTTTCTGTTGTCTTGATCTTATCCCTATGCCTCTTTTCACAAGCTCTTCAAGCTCTGCTTTCCCCTTCCCTAAAATTATAGATAACCCTTCACTGACACCTGCCTTACCTAGGGCATCCAGTACCCGGTACCTTCCTAGTACTGACCTCCCACCCCTGCTTCTCCACAGTGCCATTTCCCAGGGTCACACCCGCACACCCTTGCCTGTCTCACCCCAGTGACAGTGGCGACAGCTCTCGCAGTGGCGCCTGCTGTGGTAGTCAGGAGAGAAGGAAAGGCCTGGTTTACACGGGTCACACTGAGCAGCCGTTGAGTGCTGGTCACAGTCCTTTACCAGGAACGTTCCTGTGAGCAGAGGACGTGGGGTCAGGCCTGAAGGGGGCTGCTTGTCCCTCTTTTGGGGGCAGGGCGGGGCGGGGGCTGCCACAAGGCACCCCTCTTCCCTGCACAGATCCTGTCCCCACACATCTGGCCCACAGCCCGCCTTACCTGGCCTGCACATCTGGCAGCACAGCCTCTCTGGAGAGCGGTAGTGCCTCTCTGGACAGCTCTTGGGGGCCGGAGCAGCTGAGAGCCCCAGCAAGGTCCCCAGCATGCAGAGCCAGCCAGGAGGGGGCCAGGCCATTGCTGCTGCCCAGGGAGCTGCGTCTTCCCGCCGGTAGCTGACTGCTGGGTGCTGGTGCCTTGTTGCTCTTCCTGGATGGTAGTCACTGTGTCCAAGCTGCCTTGCTTCAGTGGCAGCTAGACTTGGGTGGCAGGCAAAGCTCTGTTGTGGCTGGGTCTTTTTTTTTTTTTTCTCACAGTAGCATCCTCCACCTCCTTCCCCTTTTCCGCGTAGCAGGGAGGAGGGCGTTAAAGGGCAAACTGAGACATTCTGTTCTTCAAAGATATTTCCTCTCTTGTTCTCCACCGCCCCCCACCTCTGTCTCTCTCTATCTCTATCTCTCTGTCTCTCTTCTGAGGATTTTTTACAAAAAGAGTATGGTCATAGAGTGCCCACCTCTCTTATTTGCAGACTTACACACCCAGATGCCCACACGGCTCCCTGTCCAGTTTACTAGTTAATCTGCATATCACCTCTCTCCCCTACCTCCATCCCTTCTTTCAGAAATAAGTGGTTTAAGAAGAAAGGAGAACTTGCCTTGAGATCCACAGTCTTGAAAGTCTTGGAGTTGACGAATTTTTGAAGCCAGAATCCTGCTGGAGCTGGAAGGGCTCATGGTCAAATAGCACTGAGGTGGCGCAGCTATTGGCTATGCTAAGTGGGGCGAATCATGACATAACCAGCCTTGTGTGGATCGAGGTCTGCCCTTATGGCCAAGAGAGCTTGCGGCAGCATTGTTTGGAATCAAAGGCAAGAGTCTTGGACCTGTGTCTCTTCTGGTCCCACTGTGGCTAGGAGATCCTGTGTGACCTCTGGTCTTCGTGCCAGCCTGTGCCATAGGAGCCACTATTGCTCAACCCTCCTGTCCCTGCTGCTCTGGCTGAATAGTCACTATGTCCTGGGGCAGCCAGGCGTCTCCCCTCTTGGACTTGGGACTTGGCTGGTCTCTGTGTGGGTCTCTTCCTTCCCCCATGCAGTGACGGGGCGGCTCGCTTGTCCTGGGCACTTTTCATTCAGGGTTTTGCAGTTGTTTTCACACTGTTCATGAAATGTCACAGCCCTGTGGTCGCACCTGGTAGATCTGTGAGATCTGTTCTTTCTATCTCACTCTTCAGTTTCCTTTCTCTTCATTTTTTCCACCCCGCCTTTCAAAGCCCCTCTATAGTTCCTCAGGGGGGCTCCACTCAAGCAAGAAGCCACACATTGTCGCCACGTGGACAGTTGTGGAAAACCATCCCTCTCACCATCTGGTGGGACTTTCTGCAAGATTCCCTCCACCAAAAGCAGTAACTTAGGGACAGGAGGACTTTGCTGTCGCTAACAGTCCCAGCCCATGCCTATGTTCTGGTAAATGTCATCACTGTTAGCCCGGTCTTGTGACGTACAGCTATAATCTCAGCTACTTGGGAAACTGAGGCAGGAGGATCCTAAGTTCAAGGCCAGCCTGGGCAGGTTAGTGGGCCCTGTCTCAAAATAAAAAGGGCTGGGGATGTAGCTCAGTGGTAGAGCTTTTGCCTAACTTGTTTGAGGCCCTGGGTTTAAACTCCTGTACTGCAAAGCAAACAAGCAGAACAAAGAAGACACCCTCCCCACTCCCCTGTGGCAAGATAGGGAAGGGGAGGTGGGGTGGCAGTAGGTTCTGAGGGAAGGCATGAGGCCTGAGAGGAATGATGAGGGAGGGACCTTTGAGGAGAAACTTGCCAGAGGGGACTTACAGTGCCGCGGGCTGGACCCTGAACTGCCACTCACCTCAGGCCTCCATTCTGTGGGCCAAGGCCCAGGCCTCTGCTGCTTACCACTCTGGCAGGCTGCTGGCCTCCTGGAGAACCTTGGTTAGAGGAGGAAAGGTGGATTCCTGGACCGGGTTCCTTGCTGGGGGAGTGGAACAACCTTCCAGTGAGCTCTGCACTACCCAGGCGGGCTGCCTGGATGGCCCCTTCCTCTTGTCCCCAGGCCTGAGGAAAGCAGCCTCTTGACATCTTCCTTGGACTCATCTACCACTATATTCTCTTATAGGCCAGCCTCTCTGTGTGTGGCCTCCCCCAACAAATGTGCACTTTTCTTGCTTCTGCAAAGACACACCCACAGGAGCCCCGGGAGCCCTTCTCTTTTGAGGACTTTCTTTTTTTGAGACAGGATCTCGCTATGTAGTTTAGGCTGGTCCTGAATTTACTATGTAGCCCAGGTTGGCCTCAAACTCTCAGTGATCCTCCTGCCTTAGCCTCCCTAAGCCTGGGATTACAGGAGTAAGTGACCACGCCTGGCTCATCTTCTATCACTTCTTTTTTTTTTTTTTTTTTTTTTTTGAACCAGGAATCAAACTCAGGACCTTGTGCTTGCCAGGCAGGCACTGTGCCGCTGAGCTACATCTCCTGCCCTTCAGTGGTATTAAATACACCCATGAGGTGGTGCAAACATTGTCTCATCCATCTTCATAACTTTGTCTTATAAAATCACACCTCTGAAGCTGGCTTAGAGGCTGAGGTGTGAGGATGGTTTGAACCCAGGAGTTCAAGGCCAGCCTGGGCAATATGGTGAGGAGGCTCTGCCTCAAAAAACTCCCAGGAAACCAAACCAAACCAAACCAAATCAAACCAAACCAAACCAAACCCTACAAAAGTTTGTACCTTTAAACAATTACTGATAAAGGCATCTATGACAAACAGCCAACATTATACTAAATGGACAAAAAGTGAAAGGTTTCGCTCTAAAATCAGAGAAAAGATAAGACATATAATGGCAGCATTCTTATTCAATATAGTAGTGGAAACATTAGCCAGAGCAATTAGATAAGAAAAAGAAGTGCAAGGGATAACGATAGGAAAGGAAGAATATCACGTTAATAATATCCCTTAGTTATTGTGGGCTGACCAGGCCTGCAATCTCCCAAACGAGTGGATAACAAAGACTTAAATAAGTGAAACAATTAAAATGATGTTAGGGTTCCAGGAGGGTCCAACCTTCTCTCAGAATTCAAGGTTTTCTGGGTTAAGACCAAGAGCTTCTCTGGGTGGCCCATATTTATTTGATTTTCAAAGAAAGGAGCAGAATAGTGAAGAAAATCTGGGAATCTGAGCAGGATCTTGGGAGAATTTCCCAAGTAGTAAATATGTCAATCAGAAGAACTATCTCATCTTTAGTTTGGTATTTATTGTAGGAGCGTGGAGCCTGCAGCTGCAGTCTCTTTTTAATTAACTGGGGTTGGAGCCAAATGTCCTCAGCTGTGGCCTTATCTTGTCCTTTGAGACATCACAGCTTCACAGGCCAATACAGGCCTCAGTGGTGACCAGTGACTCACAGAGGTTCATTTACTTTGAGTCTGCTGCCCTTCTCCAGACAAGGTGCCTAGGCTTTGGACAACTCACAAGTAAACATGGAAAGCCAGTTGGTTAATATTAAATCCTGCTCAGAGCCACTTTGTAGTGGTCTCCATCAGAAGAAGTTAAATTATCGCTATTTGTGGATGACATGATACTCTACATGGAAGACCCCCAAAACAAAAGACTTTTAGATTTAATAACCAAATTCAGTAGCATGGCTGGTTACAAAGTCAACACTCAAAACTGATAGCCTTGGTGTACACTCTCTCAGCTCACTGGGAGAGAAATTAGGGAAACAACACCTTTTACAATAGCATCCAAAAAAAATGAAATACCTAGGAATCAATATAACAAAGGAAGTAAAACATTTTTATGTTGAAAACTACAGTTCTCTGAAAAAGGAGATCAAAGAGGCTATCAGGAAGGTATACCTTGTTCTTGGGTAGGGAGAACCAATATAGTAAAAATGGTCATACTTCCAAAACTGCTAATACAGATTTAATGCAGTCCTGCTCAAAATGCCAATAGCATATCTCACAGAGTTAGAGAAAACAATCCTAAAATGCATTTTGAACCAGAAGAGACCTAGAATAGCAAAAGCAATTCTTGGCAATAAAGGCAAGGAAGGGAACATCACAATCCCTGACTTGAAATTATGCTACAAAGCTATGGAGATAAAGATGTACCATACACAGGTGCAGATTCCCTATGATGAATGCTATCACTATTTGTATCTAAAATATACTACTAATAAAGCTACTGTGATAAAAACAGCATGATGCTGGCAAAAAACCAAAAACAACTAACGAAAAACAACAAAAAAACCAGACCTGAGGATCAGTGGAACAGATTAGAAGGTATAGAAACAACTCCAAACACACTCAGCTACCTTATATATTTTTTTAATTTTAAAAATAAAAGGAGGAAAACATTAACAGACAGACAACCCTTTACAAAATAGCAAAAGAACAGTACA